AGTGTTTCCCAGTGAACAGTCATTATAGTGTATATAGACTCTTGATCATTTAAAGTTTAAAGCACCATAAAACATCCCCATTTGGACTTGTAAAACTACATGGGGGGGGGGTCGAAACGTTCCAGAATCTACATGAATCCAAAAGTCTGAATGGTGAGCAGAAGTTGGGCCTGAACACCTGGTCACCAAGCAGACGGTTCGGCCGTCCACCACAGCCGGTGCTGTTGAGGTTGCTGTATTCCTGTCGAAGCCAAACGCATTTTACAAATGTCTTGCCAGTGCCTGTGGGCCCATAGATATGTTCAATATTGTTTAATTATATAAACGCTATATACAAGTAAATTTAAAATTGTACAACGACCTTCCTGCATGGAAAGACAACAACAACACACAAACCAATCGAGTAGCAAACATCGATCTTTGAGCGGAATCTCCAGGGATGTCCTCGAGACGGACGGCCTTTTGGCGGCCTTCCTCATTGGCTTCGTCGTCTTCGTTCCTCGGAGTACCGGCGTGGACGAGCGCAGGAGGTCGAGTCTGATTGGCGCCATTTGGGGTGGGGGGACGGTGGCAAATCCAGGAAAACAAATCAATGAGATCCAGTCAGATCTAGATGGTCTAGAGTCTAGTCTAGAGGCTTCTGCTTCATTCTGCTTCATTTAAAGTCACTTAAAGTGGAACAAAACCAGGCCTTTGGGTGGCATGTCTCTACTTCGGTGTGACTTGTAGCCTGCCAGATTACCAGGTGCTTGGGGAAATGGAGCAGAGTGCTCAAAACAGCAACACAGTCCGACCGAAAATTGTAGATTCATCATAGCGGAAGAAACAAACGGTCCGACCGACCGGACGGAGAGACCGTTTTGATACCTTCCGCTGGGTGGACGTGGACCTCCAAGGCCAAATCAGTATGAAGATGCACGAGTGAACGGTGATACTTGTGTCGGCCACGGTGGGTAGCTGCTACCCTGTGGGGCTTGAAACACCTGACTTTCCACTTCGAACTCGAATGAACTCATTTTGGGCTGAAGCCCTGGGAAGAACTTCCAGGCCATCAAGCTCCGACGCATGATGATTTTGCGGCTTACCCGGGGGATTCATACCACGCCCCCGGGTTCAGGGTGTCCAACAATACCCCTTTCAGAAGGGGGTGTCCAATCCACCACTCAATCTCACTGGACAGCTACGCTGCCATCGCCTACGCCATCTCAGAGTCTCAGCCCCCGGGTTCAGGTGAGCTTCGGTATGGTCGGGCTTCTCACTGGACTGGTCTGTGTGGCTTGGCGAGGAAAACGTCCGGACTAGGGCGTATCGAATCGAAAGATGCCCCTCGCAAGTGAGGATAACAAACATGAAAGTGGAGTTCACCACCTGTTTTCATATGAACATGGTATACATTATGGTAATCCAAGGGGCATGTCCATTTCCCACTTCCATGATTGGTTCAGGGAGTGTACTTGTTGGCTCTTTCTGTTCGCAGCGAGAACATGCCGAGAAACCCTCGCGGCGCGTTTGTTTGCTTTGTGCTAGTACCTTTGTACCGCGTGTTTTTCTTTGAAAGGCACGTCCCAGATACAACGGCCGTTCCCTGAAAGCCTCGGGACATGAGGGCTGCCAATGGACGTGCACGCTGGGTGGCAACACATGTGAGCTGAAAAAAGAACTGTATTGAGTAAGGAAGGTTTCCACAGGTTTGCCAATGACATGGATTCTGTGCAGGACATGGGTGTCGACATGGTGACACCGCTACATAGAGGCACTGCGTAATTACAGCACTCGGTTCATGTTGTTTGGCTTCCGAACGCGTGGCTGTCCACCTAACACGCGGCTCTGAGGAGAGCATGTTCGACAAGAACGACGCTCGGGTGGAGCAAGAGCGCGCCGAGGCAGAAGAGAAGCGTCAGAGGACCGTTCGGGGACGCTGAATAAGATCGCAGGATATCGCAGTATGATTGGATTTCGTTTATGCTCAGCAGTATCCAGGGGTCGTGCAAATGTAGAGTTTGATTAATCAACCCCCCAGTTGAATTGAAAACCATGTTCAAATCTTTTCATATGGGGGTTATTGTATGGAGTTATGTTTCGATATGATTAAGCAAGAGTCTATACATGTCGTGGATGTTTGGTCTTTGGAATATCCGATCCTTGCTCCCTTAGAGGTCTCCGATCGAGCGGCGGATGACTCTCCACTTCGTCGGACTCGGGAAGGATTCGGTATTTCAATCACTCGGTTTGAGTCTGGATGGACCCAGTTGGTTTGTTTGGAAGTGTGGATAATTGTTTTTGAAACAGGACACCCAAAAGCTTGGAACATTCTGGAGGACAGACACAGGCAGGATAGAGTTAGAGCAAAGGTAGTGGCAAAGGCAACTGTGGGATTTCAACAACCATTTGGATCCATTTGGTCTAGTTGTTTCTACTCGTACCTGAGACAGGGATTCTATGCAGCCCTGTTCGGACAACCCGTTCTTTCGATGGTTGCACGGCCAGTCTACCTTGGAATATGTATATATAGAATCCACTTTAGGCAGAGTATATATGCCAGCCTTTTGTTTTCCTGGTGAGGTTTCTGGCTTTGGCGGCTGCTTCACATCTCTGGGGTTGTCCATTGGTGCAGCGGTGCATTTGTGTTTTTCATGTTTTTTTCCTGTTGATATCCGAATGTAGTTCAGGATGACGAGGGTAGCCAAAGCACCTGGGAGTTTGAGCATGTTCGTGCGCAACAGTTTTCTTTGCACGGGTTTAATAGTAACCATGTATCAGACAACTATTGACTTGCTACACTTCCTACGGCCCAAAAAGCACCACAGATGTGGTCAACCCGCCATCCCCCGTGTTGCCACCATGCCTTGCGCGGCACGACGGGTTGCTTCGTTGGGTCAGCATTGGGGTCAGCGGCATGTTTGGCGTTGGACGTCTCCGAAAAAGAGTCACCGAAAGTCCCAACGCCGATTTTTTGGCTCTTCGGGCCTCAGGCGGCTGCTGGTTGAACGTACTCGCATGGAACGTCGATGTTTCTCGTTCTGCGTGATGACCTTCCAGGATCATCAAGAATTGCGAGAAGATCTTTGAGACCATTGCAAGCCAAGGCAAGTGGGGAGGTCAGTGTATCCGTTTCAGGTGGTGTTTCCGAGATTTTTTCCACCTGATGTCAACACACAGCAAACGACCTGATACGACCTGATGAAGCTAGCAACATCGATCATGAAGCACAGTCATCCGCTTCTTTTGCGCCTCGCGTTTCCCTGATGTATTCCTTTTGTAGCGACAAGCGCCAAGAGAGTGTAGGGTTAATTGTGGACAACTGTGAGTGCTGTTTTATTTTGTTTTTTAACGACACAGAAAGCAAGAATACCCATCTCAGCTTTCCATCGACTGTGTGCCAATGACATCCCTTTTGAAATCTCTCCTCCCATGCCATGCCTTGTATCCCTGCTTCGATTCAAGGGGCTGAAACACCTCCACAACTACATATCCATGCAGGTAACCATCCATAGTATATCATTAAAAAACACCAAAACAACTCACCTCCCAGACGAATTGAACTGACCAGTCACGTATTCACCAGTCAACGTATTGAACACCGTCACCGTCACGTATTTGTCACGGTGGACGACGGTGGACATGGAGCGTTTTGGTTCGAAGCAACCAGGACAGGCCACCATCGAGGACATCATGCAGATCTTGCCGGACTTGGATAATCTCTTCGTGGAGGAAGGCGTCACCTTCGCACGTGAGGACCTGGTGAACACAGCCACCTGGCTGCCACGGTGAGGACCTAGGTGCGGGAGGAGCTGCTGTGTTTTAGTATTGTTTTGTTTCATTTATGAAGGCCTATATCCCTCACAAAATACTTATACGAGAGGATGAGGGGCTTTATTGCATGTCACGTGCAACCTCTGTAACAACAATGGTTGTTGATACTTACCCTTCACCGTTTCCATTCACCGCGCCTTTGCACTCAGTTCTTTTTTCTGCACTCAAAAGAAGAGCCTACATAATATATAGATTAGGATGACTTGGCTGTGACACAAAAAGAACGAGCTGCCTTGCACTGATGAGATGTGTTTTGGATCTTGATTTCTGAACATGACTTGATGAAAGCACTATGTCACTTCCGAGTTGGAGCCAGCAACTGAGGTGAACTGCATGGATACGGACGCTGGGCGGCAAGATGTGCATGAATCATGATCCATCCATGTGAGGCGAAGCTCAAAACAACTCTAATTCGTTTTCACCACGCGGTTGCCGCTGTGGGTGCCCCAAAATGGATGAAGAGATGACTCCAGACGCGGAGGGTTGGTTGAACACTGCCCCCACCACTTTCATCTGTTGGGCCCCTAAAGACCAATCGAAGATCAAGGACCTATATCCCTGCAGGTCAAAGACCTCATTTTACTGAAGTTGATCATACAAAAACACAATCCCATGAGGTAAAGGACCAGGTTTTACTGGATCTAGTAGGGGCTCCTGGCATCACTACTAGGAGCAAGGACGCTACTAGGTATGGGGGCTCCTGGCATCGCTACTAGGAGCAAGGATGCTACCAACCTAATGATTTACTATGTCGATGATGTCCTATGACTAATTTGGGTTCACTGGTCATCAGCGTGTAACACCCCGCACCGCCCACCCCGGGTTTTTCTGGGGTTCCAGGATGGCAGTGGCTCGATTGACCGGAAAGAGTTCTGCTGGGGCCTTAGCAGTTCTTGAATGTCATGATAATGCATAGACCGCATAGACACCCTTTGAGGCACCAGTTTCCTGAACCCGCGACACTCATTAGGTGTGTTTTGAGGTCCGAGGCCGCTTGACCAAAAGATGCTCCCGAAGCCAAGTGTTTGAGTAGCTGTACTCGCGACACAAGAATGCGGCATTCGAGTTGATCACAGAAACCGAGATCTATGATCCGTATCATATGCATTTCCCAGTCCACCCCCTGTTCAGATGTTTGGTTCTCGAGCACGTGATGAGCGATTTTGCGCCAGGTCACAGTGTTCTGCATTTGGCCGAAGGCTTAAGACCGATCTCCATCATGGCCACTTGGCATCCGTTGGTCCATGTGCGTCTCACAATCTACGGAACCCTGACGCCAGGAAGGAGTTCGTTTTTTGTAACATAGATTCGATGTGTTGGAATATGGACCTGTCGCGTGTGCTAATGCTGGCTTATGATCTTAGTCACGTGGAATCATTGGGTCATTGCGCAGAGGATCGGCATCAATGGGCATAGATGTGTGTGTGTGTGCTTAATATCCTTCATATCCCGGAAGCCATTTACAGCTTCAGATTCAGGGGATCAAAGTCATCTCCATGCACTAGTCATCTCCGTCAATGTCTCTTGCAGTCCATGCCACGTGAGTTGCGTGTGGACTATGCTGGGAACTCCTTCCGATGGTTCGACACGGACGAGATGCTTCGGGTGCACGGGGCAGACTTGTCCAATTTCTTGGCCAAAAGCATCGAGGAGCACTTCAAGGTCGATCTGACACATTTGGACGGAGGGCGATCTGACAGAGCACTGTGTGATTTGATGAATTAATTGTAAATAATACTATATATATATATTTATATATATATATTATTTGTGGGTATGGGGTCTAAAGCGATGAAAACCATTTTTGCACCAGCTGCATTTGTTTGGGCTTGAAGATGACCAAGCGTGACGAACCGAAACTATACTGTAGTTAACTCCGGTTAACTCTGAAGAATCAGTAACCCCCCCGAACAGGTAAATCCTTGACCATCCTGGAAGGTGGGGTTGATTAAGAAGTCAACTGATTGGTGCGAAGCCTCAGAGTCGGTCTGGGAGAGCTTCATTCGTGCAGGGTTCCGCGCAAAACAAAAATATCGATATTGCGCGGTGCACTTCGTAAACGGTGCACCAGGTGCCTTTGCACTTTCAAGTGCTTTGCGACATTGAAGGCCAGAGCAGATGGGAGTCAGACCAATGTCCAGGTCGGACAGGTTGGGCCTGGCAAGGCTTGTTGAAGACCCTGCAAACAAGTCATGTGAACATTGTGAGCGCATTGCAATTGCTTTCTGGTACAACCTAGAGGTGCTCAGATCACGTGTCCCATCGCACCCACAAGCCAAAGGCCCGAACCCGTGCCACGATCAGCAGGCCCCTTGACCTCCGGCGATTTCCAGCGACTGCTGCAGAACGAGGCACTGCAAAACAAAATACAGTGGTTTCAGAGTAGATGGCACAAACCTCGAGATGTCTTTTTGCATGGGGGTCCATGCAAACCACTCTCAATCCACTTTGTTTTGCTCAGAAACGGATTGTCCGGGTCAAGACACTGGAAGCAACGATCAGTTGAGTCTGGGGCGAATGTTGTGAATCTTCGAGCCGAGAGTGGGTGCTTCTTCGGTTTCAACCGATTTCGGGTCGTCACCCTAAGGGTCGTTACCGGGTCCCTGTCTCCCCAGAAACAGTTCTTCCACTGCACATTGCTTTGGTTTTCGGAAAATGGCCATTCCAAGTAGAGATCTTTCTTTTGGCGACGGACTGCTACATCCGTCGTTCCACTCCCGTTCGAACGCAGTTGGAGGCCCCAAAGCTGTGGCTCTTCGACGCACGTTACATGCCAGAGGACACGTCCGGTTAGGCTGATGTGAGGAGTCAGGAGTATGATGTCTTTGTTACTGCACCAAGCCACGTTTAAGGAAAATCGAATACGAGGTGAATCCTGATGAAGAGACTTGATGAAACACCAATTGACTTTTGAACAACGATTCTGGGAAAGAGCACTATATCATACTATATCGCTTTAACTCATAATAGGGTAGTATCGATCGAAACAGGGTCTGACTGAGTGTTGTGATAGTGGTGGGAACCGGATCTTCACCCTGAAAGGACCTGCGGAAGCAATGCGAAGAACGCACAAGGCTTGCAAGGCATTCGACGTTCGTTTTCCACGTTCCGGACATTTGGTAATCACAGTTCCCCGTGCTTTGTTTGTTGTGTCGGGACAAAGCGGGCAGGTGTGTGAAGATGTGTGAATTGTGAGTCAAACTTGCTGGATTTGGGTCGTTCTCGGTACCGTCATCATGACTAGTTGCGATGACCGACGTTGTAGAACGTTAGTTCTCGTTCACACACGTATCATTGTCAGATGGTCTCATGATGTCTCATGGTCATTTTCCTCATCCTCGTCCCGTTGGACTACAGTGTCCATCACCATGAAGACACCCGTCCCTCACCCTCGTCCGGACTACGGTGACTGGGTCAGGCCCAGCGGCTGTTTGCCGAACGGAGCCAAGCTGGAGACTCTGGTGGAAGAGAAGAGTGATACACAAGCGGATCCTTGGCCTGGTCCAACCTGTGATTCCATGTGGGTCCAAAAACTAAAGCTGCAAACTCTGGCTACACAATCTAGATACGAATACAAGGTATACAACTAGTATAAACGGGATCCACTGCAAGATCCCAACATCAGCCTGAAATCTGATCCACCGGCAGGAAGCTTTTTTGTTTCTCCAGTTGTTTTGATGTTGTTGGGTTCCTACCTGGAGGTTCATTCTCCGGCATGAATATGCTTGAGCACTTGGTTGTTGCTCATGTATCTTGAACAGCGCTTTCTTTCTACCATAAACTCCTAGCAGACCTAGGCCCTAGGCCGCTTAAAACTCAAACATCAGACCACTGGAGATCCCGCAGATTCGTGGGAAAATCGGCGTATATCAAGAACAAGCAAAAACAACAAATACGCTGATTTTGATTTGTTTTTGATAGAACAAGTGATTGTTTTATTGTTTTGATTGTTACTTTTGAAAACGTCATACGACAAATTCAGATTGAACACTCGTAGAGCCACTCGCAGAGCCATGTTTCTGGATGGAGTCCAAGTGGAAGGGAATGGAATGCTGGCTTTTGTCCCGAAGACTGGAAACACTAAAGGTCGGAAGCCTCTACTGTATATATTTAGACTTTCTCGGAGAATCAATCTCCAGGAAGTTTCTTGGCTTTGAGCAACTGCCAAGGTGGTTGAAGTAAATGCACTAGCAATGGATTAAAACTCTGTAAACCATGCCTGTATACGCGGTTTGACAGCCATGAGGGATCCCTTCTTGGCAGCTACGGGTTTCACAAGGCATCCAACGCAATTTCTCTGGGGGGAAGATGGCGAAAATTCCAGATCTGCAGCCCTGACGAAGCATGAAGGTCATGAAGGTAACAAGTGTATCCAAAGACTTAATTGCATCCAGTTCCAACACTTGTAGCCATAGAAATCAGCTGCTACAACTATGAATGGATCAAAGTGGATCCACCAGGTTAAGTATTTGTTCAACATGTTTCCAAACCTTCTATCACCGATGTGTCTCTTTCACCGACACCTCAGCAGTGCGCAAGGAGCTGAGCAGTTTGTCTGAACGGGAGAAGCAGGTGGCCCAGTTGTTGTCGGAGCGCGAAGCGGAGATTCAGCAGCTGCAGAGAGAGCTGATCCTTGGACATATTTTCAGAGTCCACGGACGTTTGACATCTAAGAAAAGAAAAACATACACCACCGCCATTATTGCAAATGGACATGTTCATGGGTCTGTGTGGTTTTGAATCTTTTGGAGGGAATGAAACTTGAGTAAAAGAGGTAAGGCAGGGGTTCCCAAGTGGGCAGGTACTATTCGCTTTCAGTCAATTTCTCTATTCCGGGGCACCATGACGTGAAGTTTCCGAGGAGCAGCTTGCTCCAGGAAGATGTAGACGCGTCACCTGCCGTGCTCCGAAGTTGCCTGAAGACTGGGACGAAAGTTTCAACATGTCCGTGTCAAACCAAAACATACCTAGAAGTCACAGGAACCCGCACCAGCCTTGCACAACCATAAAGTGCGAACCCTGGCAATATTTCTCCTGCTCTCGCTGCATCTTGCTGGCTGGGGTGAGGTGCAAGAAATGCCATGAAGACACTGTACTTGCCAGGTTTCACCCAGCTCTTCTTCCCCGCCCAATTGCGGAAAGGATTTCAACACGCATACAGTATCATACAGTATTCAAAACATGTCGGATGCACTGGGAGATGCGCTGCGCCAAGCAGCATGAGGGGATCACTACTGCTTTATGCCTGTACAAAGACTAAACCCATTGATGAGACCAAGGAACTCCTGGCCATTGACTCCGGTGGATGAGGACGAAACCTCCCTACAGATGTTGGAGGCCACACGTGATCCGTTATTTTTTGGGGGGGAAAGCGCGGTTGGAATGACAGGGGACACTACTAATATGTGGGAGTTGATCGAAAACTCCGTGTAAGGAGTTTTATATAACACAGCCTTTCAGATGTTGTTAGAACCATCCGCGAAAGATTCGCGATTAGGTTCGCGAAAGTATATTTGTTTGCCCCGAAAGATTTCTCGAAGGTCATCGCTTTCATATGTTTTCCTTTTCTACCGGACTGACAAAGAATAGAAATACAAGGCAATCCATAGTTAATTGATTGTATAAAGTTATATACTATATTGTATACATAATATGTATTCCCGAATCCCGAGTACCTATTGAAAAACGGACTCCTATTAGAAAAAGTGATGTCGGAAACCAGTAAATGCGGTTTATATTCGTTTTTTAAATTACCGCCCTTCCAAGCCGCTACTCAACTACCAACATTGCCGATTTTGGTGGAGTTCTTTTAATTAGGTTCCAAAAACAACCGTAACTGCCCACCTCTGTCCACTCTGTCTATCCACCATGACACGCCGTGTTTACACCAGCAGGCTTGCCTTCCCCCAATGGCACGGACTCACGCAAACGCACTTTCCACCAAGGTCACGCAAAGCCGCATGGCACAGCGACATCACCTTTCGAAAGCTTTAGTTGTTAGTCTAATGAAATATCTATTCTAATAAAGGTTTTGTAGGGGAAAAGGAAGGCCCTTCGATCTGGAGGTTTTTTGAATTTTGATACGAGTTTAATAAATAGTTATATATAGTTCCTGGATGACTTTTTGGTTTTGAAGTCCCAGGTGACCCTATTTTGGACCACCCCGATTTCAGGGACCCCCCTATTAAAAAAAATGCGACCGAGGTTTCCTTGTGGGGGGGAGGCGTGTTTTTTAATAGGTGGACCGGATTATATATTCATGTATTATATTGTATGGACATGCATACTAATGTTTTGTTGTTCAAGCCATCCACATTTCTTCGTCTGTGTGTCAACTGTTTGCGGAGGCTGTTTCAGGACGATTCAATCGCACATTTCAATCCAACTCCGGCTATTCTGACTGGTGCTTATAAGTAAGTGAGGAATGGGGGAATGAGCCGATCCATTCCCTCATTCGAATTGAGTCACATGAATGTGACATGTTCAGCTCATTTCAATTCCGTCCGTCCAACGTCCGAGGCGGAGGAAGCGATGCTCGTCCAGTCGGTGCAGGAGGCGCTGGCGCGGATTTCAGCTCATCGAACGCCCACTCTGCGAAGCAGCACGGGTGTCAGTGTACAAAGGACGGTTCAAGTGGCTTGACCGGCCGGTGTGCTGGCCTTGGGGTGCAACCCGTGGGTTGCAGGTGTCAAAAAGAACTGGAGGGCACTTAGGGGTTCATTGGAGAAATGAGAAAAGCAACATGTTGCGGCAGAGAGGAAGATATGCCCGCGATATCCCGCGATATCTAATTTGCAGGCCTCAGGTCGCCTGGGGGTGAGGGTTAACAGACAATGGGCGGGTTTGACGTAAGACTCAAGACCCTGTATAATTGCTGAATATACATACTTGTCATCAAATCTAACCCAACAGCTGGTACATGCTGGTACTAAATCCTCATGTCAATGTTGCTCGGAGACCTCTAAGAGATAGAGGAATGTGTGTCATTAAACAGTAAGGATAACAACAAGGTAAACATGGTACCAACATGTACCAACCACAATCAGCAATAAATTTGTCTCAACCACATGTATTGTACAGTGGTTTCAGAGTAGATGGCACAAACCCGAAGATGTTTTTTTAATATGGTTGTCCGCCTTGTAAACAATTTTTTGCCGATAGTGCCATCTACTCTGAAGTCACTGTATGTTTTGCACCTTTTTCCAGGACATTCTGCAGTGAGACGGAGCTGACCACTGCCTCGCCCTTCAGCCTCCGTGAGAAGCCGCGCTCCTCGGGGCCGTTGCCACCGCTGGAGAGTGATGGCTGCCGAGTGTGTGGATCCGATGACAAGGACGCGAATCGCCCGCATCAAACGCGCGAAAGAGATTTGGCGGGTTCTTGTTTGGGGGTAACAGATGGTTTGATGGATATGATTCGATGATTGAAACCGATTTGCCAGATGGAGCTTGTGTTTCCAAGAGGAAGGTAATGAAGTCGTGTTAAATGTTAAATAATTAGTTGTCAGGTTGAGGTTATGTGAGGGGTGAGCAGGAGTGAGTGGATTTTTGGGGGTTTGCGCCAACTACCCGGTTGCCTATCAATGGTTTACTGGGTGAAGGGCTATAGTTCATCTTCAGCAACCACAATATATTCAATAGGATTCAATAGGGCCAAATATGGCCAAATCAAGCACTCTGCAGTAGCTCTATTCAATTCTGTCTATTCTCGCAAACATATTATCCGAGCCACAGTTTCAGGCCTTTTGGGCCTAGCAAGCTTTTCCAAAAACCACCCTGGCAAGCCAATCCCAGCTTCCCATCATCGTCCCGTTCCCACTTTTGGGGTGCTTTGACCTGGTTACTAGTCCTTCTTCTTCCAATCGACCATCATCTTCCACCACGTCCAAAGAACGGTCTGTGCTTACGAAAAAGACGGCAGATGAACGGGATGAACGGTCTGTGCTCCAGGAGCGCTCTGCGCGTCACACGCTCCGGCAGCAGCTCGCCGCCGCAGAGGAAGCCCACACGACGCAGGAGCTCCGTGTGACGGAGTGGCAGGCGCCGGGGTGTTCACCGGCGAAGCGTTTTGGGGCGCCACCGGAAAGCGGGGGTGGCTCGGTGAAAGTGGGGAGCTGAGACCTGAGGTTTGTTCGTTCTGGGTGGACCTGCAGCTTGAAGGGATGTGTGTTTGGTTGTGAAGTTTAATTGCTCGTCACTAGTTCACTGGTACTGTGTCAGTATAGATATGATGTCAGTATTACAATTTCCTCACCCTTCAAGTTTGGTCCAGTACAACACTAGGAATCAGGGGGCTCACATAGGGTACCAGGGCAACATGACGCAACCTGTAGGCTGAGACCATTGGGAGACCCACGCTTTTCCAGAAGAGCAGTGGTCCAAATTCTCCCGGTCTCCCACGGGTCGAATCGAATCGAACCTATTGGCCAAGACTCGGGCGAAGTCGGCAGACGCCGCCTTGCTGGAGGAGCGGGCCGCGCCGGGGGGGTCCAGGGTGCCTGACGGGAAGGTTGGTTCAAAGCGGAAGATGTAGCGACCTTGGGGTAAGCACTATAGAAGGAGTTGCTCAAGAAGTCCTAATTACCTGGAGTGTTTTTTTAGTGTGACAAAACTCTCAGGCGATTTTGCCATCATGTCCTGCTCAAAGTGGATTCAATTGAGGAGCAGACGGAGTTCGCCCATGCTCAGCTCCAGTGGAAGCTGGAGATGGATCTGGCCATGCGCGACAAAGACCTCGCACATGTCCAGGAGCTCCGTGAGATCCAGAGTCGGATTCTTGGCTCGTTGGGTCATGGCACCCGGGGATTGGCCCGGTTTGATCCCCTGGTACAGTTGACCATTCGTAGTCTATTCATGTTTTTTGGTCAATCCGGGTTCCCGGGATTTGATCCACAGCCATGTGACACACCGTTTATTTCTGTTTGTTTTCTTTTTGTTTTATGCATTATTTTTGAGTTTAAGGTTGCCCCAACAAGATCCAAGAAGTATCTTTTGTGTTGAGGATGGAAGAGGTCTCTCTTCTTTTTGTGGAGTGGCCCTTCGTAGTGGGCACAGGCGCTAAAGTTTTTGAACTTGAGATCTATGTTGCCGTTCCGGAGAAGAGCACCATGCAGCCAGTGGATTTGGCTTGGTCAACACTGTCAGTTGATTCGGCTTCATCGTATGCTTCGTCGCTTCGGATGTTGGTGGCCATTCGGTCAGGTCGATTGGGACACCATACCTGGTCACGGTCACAGCCCCAAGCCGTCAAACAATGACAATTGACAATACACAAACGGGGATGGGTCAAGACCTGGAGTCCTGGTCCACCATGTATCTTGACCTCCCTGTGTCTCAGGTAGGTCAAACAAGGGTATCCTGGTTTTGACCTTTGACCCACAGCCAATGTTCATTATTGTCAATTTGTTTTTTCTGTTGACAGTTGATCTCCAGACCTGGTCCAAGCGCCTGATTTCGATCCAGAACACTCACCTCCTCGGCTCGCCACGAAACTCGCACCACACGCGCTGCGCTGCGCGTACGTGCGACAAGTGACAAGTGCATGCGCTTGTCGCGCTGACCCTTCTTGGAACAATCATGGCAGTGGAACATGGCCCCTGGGAGGAGGATTTGGTCCTCAAACATGTGTTTTTTTCCCACTTACATGATTGTTCCAGGGAGGGTATCCTGAGGATCCACCAGTCCGAGTTGCGACACCAGGCGGAGGTGTTGACCTTGCGGCATCGGGTCGCCAACTGCGCCGAGCAGGAGGAATGGCGGCTCGCTCGGGTGAAGAGTTGGACACCTGGTGCGGAGTCACCAAGGGTCTCTCATTTGGAGTTCGTGTCTTTCTTGACTTGATGTTGGGCTTTAGGTGTACTGTAATTATGAATCATAATATACTAACTAGTATACAAACTGTTATATCTTATATTATTAATGCTTATACATATATATATATATATATATACCGTCCATCGTGCTGAATAGCCAATGCAAGGCAACAGATGGAGCTCTTGCTGCTCAAGACCCAGCAGAAGCGCTCAGAACGAGCTCAAGAGCAAGAGCTTCAGGAGCTCGGGTTCACGCGGAGCCCAATAGGAAGAAGTGGCTTACTGTAGGCGTTGAACAAGTACTGGGATGCCCAGCGCCCAGAATTCGCATTTCCGAAGATTGGCTTGGCATTGTACGGTATGAAGAAGGACAGGATCTAGACACATCTACCATATGTTTGCTAGTACGTATTCCAGACATTCCTGGTGAGGTTCACTCAGTGTTGGTTTCGAAGCCCCTCCCATACTCCCTGCTGGCCCACACCGCCATCCACCAATGCACCTGGCACCACCGCAGGGTGCTTCGCCCGCGCCCTTCGCCGCCTCCGAGCGCCTCGCCTCGCCTGGAGGAGTTGTTGTCCTCCGTGGAGCTGGAGCGGCTCACGGGTGAACAGCGTGCCAGTGAGCTGAGCTCCAAAACCCGCCAGGAGACCCTCGGTGTGAACCACCGACGCCAGTGCGGACCATGTGGGGGGGGGGGAGAGCTGGGCGCACCATGTGGCACGGGTGGCACGGGCTTTGGGGAGTTGGGGAGATTCAGAGTGTAGCCTCATGAGGGTGGATGAGGGGTGATTGAAGGGGTATGGCGCTAATGGCTATGGTTTAAAACGATCGGTCCCATCCGGTGGACACTCAGGAAAGACCTGGCTGCACGCTTGGCGGGATGTGGTCTTGAGATTTTAGCCTTGGAGAATGCCATCGAGGTGCAGGGTGGTCTTGCCTTCGATCAAAAACATCCAAAGACTAACATGGCAAGGCAATGTAATTAAGCCACCAAGCTGAGGTGTTTGGAAGTCAGGATGAACACCACTAACAGATTGCGGAAAATGTGGAACTGAAGGAGATTGACTTTCTGCAAGCTTGTCATTCAATTTACTCTGGATTGCTTTTGGCCAAGTGGCTTTAAACATGGAGTACAGCCGGACCTAGATCAACCAATGCGCCACCACTGGAGGCTCAGAGACACAACCCCAGGCCAGAGGATTTGAGGACCAAACCAAACGCCAAAACAGCCGCTGAGGCATTGCCTGTTCGGTTGGATGGAGGGGTGGATGAGTGCCTGAGGACGAACGAAAGTCAGAAAAACGGCCACCGGGTGCTTGTAAGATCTTGTAAGCTTTGTCAATGTTTTGTCTGGAAATCCAATCTGACCGGCCCAACCAGAACCTGCAGTCACCCAAAGTAACACAAATGATCATGAAACACTGGTTCCAAACTACAACATTCAAACACTATAGTGGAATAGCGCACACAGGCCGCAGGCCTGGCTCCATTGTTCCCCTTTTTATTACAGTATATTGAAATTCCAAGCAGTCGCAAGAAGCTGCAAGGATATTGTTCAGTACTGAAACTTGTGGGCGCAATGACACCCTTGCAGACATGAAGTCTGCCGGTGAATGCAACAGGAGTTAGGTTGTTTGGGCATGATTTTGCACTTGTGGAACGCTGCGTAAAACTGCAAATGCACAGAAGATGTGTAGTCTCTAGTTTGATAGAGCGATCATTTTGCTCCATTCTTTGGTTCCTAGTTGGGCAACCACTTCTATTTTATAATTGTTTACTAAATTTAAAGTAGTGGACGGCATGCTCTTTTTGTTTGTCCAACGTCAGTGTTCGAGAAAGGCCCCCACATATACGAGAGATATGTTTGTTTGATGACACTATAAAGTTTGAACAAGATACTGTGACATATGTGACATGACCTCCTACTTATATACGTAGTCTAAACAAGATAGGGCCCCTACGTGATAGATAGTGTTTTGAGTTTAGTAATTATGAATAAATGCCGCCGCTCAGTTTATTCTTGAAGTGGACCTTGAAGCAGGAACTTCTGGTTCCATTCATTTGTTTGCGTGAACATGTGTGATCTATCAACGGCTGATGGCTGATCCACATATATCAGGTTACATGTTCGTACAGTGTATTTGCAGAGAGGGTGTGCCTTCAAACGAGGCCACTAAGTGTGAGACGAAGCAAAGTTATGTGGTTTGCAAAGGTTTGCGGCTCCAACTTGCAACTTTTGCAGCTATGGGCGACATGCATGAATGGAACAAAAATAACAAGCGCACCAAACTCTATTTGAGTGCATCAACATTTCTCGATATCGAAGTAGCACTACTATATACTCTTCACAGGTACTTCTTCTTTCCCTTTTGCTCTAGTGCTTCCCTCCCTGCAGGAAGGCAGAAGAGGAGTCTTCGCGACTGGCCTCGGAGCTTCAGCAAGAGGCCAGGGCCATGGGCGGCCACGAAAAGGATGAAAGCGACGTTGGGTGAGTTGGTTGGATCAATCTTACAGGGTTGGGCTGTGTTGTACAACTAGAGGCCACAGCTACAAGAAGGGGTGGGTCACAGGCCAGCCATGCTGGACATGCAAAAAAGCAACTAAAAAACAACCAGATGAAGCCCGGATATTTGTGGTATGTCTTGTTTAAGGGATCTTGCGCAGAGTATGGTTGATGAAAAACATAATATGTTCTTTTTTTGCATTGCCAGTAATTACATGCCAAAGTACATGCCAATACCAACCGAGAAGAAGGGTTCAAAATAAGGCTCGGATGTTCATCCGTTTAGACAGACCTGGGCCCCTCAGAGTCACCGATGGCAAGTCGGTGTTCATCCGTTGACCTCGGACTTCGCTCTCGAGCCAACGAATCAGTGGTACTTATTTTTGCACGGAATTGGGAGACACTGATTTATCATGACTTATCCAGAAGCAGGTGACATGGGCGGATGGCACGGCGGGGTCGATGTTCCCTCCAAAACGCCCTGGGCGGTTTAGAGGCACCTGATGCGTGGTCTTCCTCCCAAATCGGTGCTCCTATTTCGGCCCTTGAGGCTCGGTCCAGGACCTCGGTCCAGCGTCCCAGGCAGAAATGCTCCGGCGGGAAGAGTTGGCGCAACAGGTGCAGTTGGCGGAAATGACACGGCTGCATCAAAGAGACATGGCAGAGCTCAGCAGATTTTGAGTTGCTGAAAAGATCGGCGGGCTACTCTCCCACTCGCGAACACGGAAGTGGAAAAGTCCCTGTTTGTAGAGCAACATGGTCTTCCAGGGGCCCAATTTCTACTACTATGTTAGTGGGTCAGAGTGTAAGATGTTGGACCAATAGGACTTGGACATTGGTGTTGAATTTGTTGGTTCGAGCCACACTGGTTTGCCAGATCCCAGTGATGATTCCAGGCTTCTTGTAGAACAATGGATTCGGGATGTTCAATTTCCAAGGGGTGAGCTGTTAGGGAACGTGTTTCAAAGCATGGTTTTGCAAAAAAGGGGAAGCCCAAAGCGAAACAAGCTCATGATGAACCTCCGACCCTAGTCTGCACTTTTCAGAGACACCAATCAAGTCCGATTGATATCCGTGTGTTGTTTCCAGTGTCAAAAGTGATGAACTCGAGACCTATATATATATATATGAATCTGACTGTGGGTTAAAATCCGCAGTCCTCAACCCTGAGAGGTTGACCACCCTTAATTGTAGAGGAATCGGTTCATTTTTCAGGAGTCCACCAGGGCTACGCGGTTTTGAGCCAAAGCCATATCAGAGAATGCATGGCGTGGACGCGTAGCCTCACCACTCGGTCGCCCGAACTGGCATGTTTGTGCTAGTTCCTGCTGGATCGGATCCGACCTTGCTAATGAACTGAATTAGCCATGTTCTCGACGCATCGGAATAGCCCGTATGTTCACCAAATGTTGCATTTGAAAAAACTGTGTATGTTTAATTGTTATTGCATAATTACCCATTATAACTTGCTTAATTAGTTTATTTGATTGACTGACTGACTGACTGACTGACTGACTAACTAACTAACCGACTAACCCGCTAACTAACTAACCAACGAACCAACGAACCAACTAACGAACTAACTAACTAACTAACTAATCTAACTAATCTAACTAACTAACCAACCCACCAACCAACCAAGCAACCAACTAACTAACCAGCTAACTAACCAGTTAACCAACTCACTAACTAAGTAGCTAGCTAGCTAACTAACTTTATAACGAAGTAATTAACTAACTAACCAACATTAACTAACCAAGCTAACTTAACTAAACTGAACTAAAAGAAAAGTGTCGAACCCGTGCCTAACGTAACGCCCACGGCGTCGATCTGAGGAGAAGAGGAGCAAAGCCGCGCAGCGGCCGAGGCCAGAGCTCGAGACTTGGACAGAGGGCCACCTGAGAGAGGGTGATCAGCACTTGGGAGCTACTAGGGTGGAGGCCATCGCTCTTAGGTTGGAGGTCATCGCTATGAAGGTTGGAAGCCATCGCTACTAGGGGGAGGCTCCTAGAGGGTGGTCGGCATGTGAGATACCCTCAACTATACTAGGGTCTGGAATGGGTGACCTTCCAGGGTCTAAAATGCAACCACCGAGGGTCTCAGCAAGTAGTTGAGAGTATCCTTTGAGGTGAGAGAGGGAAGGTGTAGGGACAATGATAAGGAAGTCACTTAAGTCGCGGCCTGGCACCTGCAATGCCAGAGAAGTATTATATAATATATATATACCCCCAACAAGTGCACTTATCCCCCTTCAAGGATGTGTACGTCTAAATGGTGCCTCAGGACACCACGATTTCCAGCCGTACTCTATTGTTTAGATGTGCATATGCGGTCTTTGGACTCACAATAAAGAGTTTAGGCTTGGATCGTTTTACAGGATTCTTGATTCTATGATTCTGAATGATTTTGATGTGAGGGGTTCAGTCTGAAGGACAGCTCATGTCATGGTCTTCCCCCTGATGTCAACTTCCTTCCATGGCCTGGGTGCAATTCCTCGCATGTTTCTTTTCAGGAGAGGAAACCCTCGAGCTACAGCTACAGCAGCTGGAAAGCCAACTGGAGGCAGCGTTGAAGGCGCCCGCGCCAGAGCTGCCAAAGGTGGAAGAAAGGAAATCCGTGTCTGTGCTGCAGATTGACTATCAGGCCCAGTTCTTAAAACAACCATTCCATTGGCGTTTTCAAGGACTGTTGGCCTGTTCTGCGGCGGTGTGGCTGGACCAATGACCATGGGAACATTCAGCAAGTGAAGGATCCGCTACCCACGATCAAAATAGATCATATATACCTAGACAGTCACGACGTTTGCTTTTGGTAAGCAGTGTGACCATATTTTGGGTGGCTGGTGATCCAAAATGGAGGTTACTCAGGCTCTACCGTACAAAGATACTGTGTACATGAACACTGGAGCTTAAGGTGGCAGAATTGCCAAGGATGCAGATGGTTCTGAACCAATGCTGTGTTCACTGACGTTCTGATGTTCATCTTCGATCGTCACATGAGGATCCCTTTTACTACAGAAAACACATTTCTTTTCGCAACACCTGGGAACCTGAACAACACTCTGAGCATGGTACATGTCGTGGCCTCATTGCTCAAAGAGAGTCGAGACCCGTAGAGTGGGTGAAACCGCCAACGTGGCAAAACAGGAGAGGTTGGGTGTCTGGCTGATGTGGACAGTCCACACCGGTCCAACGGTCCATTCTGTGCCGTCTTTGAGCACCCTGAAAGACATATTTGTGTTTAATAGCCCATATTCAACACATATGAGGTGTTTAATAGCACATTGAGGTGTTTAACTCACTATGTGTGTTGAATTGACTTTCAGTGACTTCAGCCACCGGCCGTTGGTGCCGTTGCTGTGACGTTCGCTTCCACCACCAGCGCGTCACATGACTCGTCGTGGCGCGTCGATTGGGAGGAACCGTTGCGCCAGCGCAATGAGCAATGAACAATTGGTGCGGAGCATCCAACTTAGTAGATTTCTGCTAAGAGTTCTTTTGACATGAGTGTGCTGTTTTGGCCCTTTGTTCGGAGGCAAGTTGAAATACGTGAGGCAATGGAATGCAACGGAGACCTTCAGGGGGAGGATTCGCGTCGCAGAATACGCAAATTGCGGTAGACGCAAAGCGGGGTAAGCAAACGATCAACTGTCCCAGAGATGCTTGGGACAATCTCTTGCTCCGGGCAGCGCTCGTGGACCTGGTGAGCGCTCAATAGGAGACCAACACACGGTCCGGCCCACGAACCCCAAGGTCCACGGTTTGACCGTGCCGTACCTATGGCTTTTTGGCATCCCGGGTTGCCATTTGGAGCTTTTCTTTTTATTCTCCTGGAGGTTGGAATCTTAAGTTGGTAGTTTGGGAACCAAGTTCGCCAAGAACTGTGGACTCTTTGCCCTTTCTATTCCTGGTTGTACTGCTGCTTTGAGTCCCGCCCTAATCCACCAAGGATTACATCTCAACAGCAGATGATGAGCTTGACAAGGTGGCACATGGTGCAGAGATGGAACTTCCAAAGGACAAAGCTGGGAGGTTGTTCAACAACATAGAACTTTGGAACGTGTGCGTTTGTGCGTGCGTGTGTGTGTGTGTGTGTGTGTGTGTGTGTGGTGTTTTTGTGTGTGATTGGACAATATTAGATGATACTACTAATATACTGTAAATGCATCAAACAAGGAACTTCAACGACAGACAGTCTTGTCATTGATTCACGTTTCCTGTCATTGGTACCCTGCGTCTCCGTTTTGGGCGACGAGAGGCCTATAACAAGATTAGGAGTTTCAGTTTCGAAGACCTAGATGATCCATCCTCATGGCTTTACCTTCAATTTGTTGTCTTGTCCACAATGGGAGGCCTCTGTGTGTGTGTGTGTGTCACATTTTGATGGCACAATGCTGAGACAAGGATGCTAGTTGAGAATCATTGGTTGGAAGAACGGGTGTTCCAAAATGACTTGATACTGTGTGCTGTGTGCTGCAGCTATGTTGATCTCTCAGCAGGTGCAGTTGGTTTCTCAGGCATGTCATGGCCTGCCCGACACGACCTGTTTAGTCCTGGGCTCCCGAATTGGAGCATGTCACCGACGCTGCACCCCACGGGCCCCACGGCTCCTGCACGTTCTTCGGCCCAGCTGTAACATGTTTCCAGGCCTTGGAGAAAGAGATCTTTGAGTTGGGTCCGGGTGTGCTTAAGGCAGGGAAGGCGGAGAAGGCGGAACGCAAGCAGAAATTCAGAACCACTCACCGTGGCCATAGGCTTTGAACAGGATGTGGTGGTGCTGTGGATATGTGAGGGTTTGGGTGATTATCAAGTATGATGTGTTCCAAGTTATTGGAAAACATATTCGTTCTATTTATGGGTGTTGATCAAGAGTTTGCCTTTTTGAGCCTAGAGGACTGCAGGTGTTGGTCGGATGTTGCTTCATCAACACGTTCATTATCCGGTTGACTGTGGAATCTCCAGCCGTTTGACAACCTAAAAGTGGCTTTTCATTTTAGGATCTTTCCAACGGCGAAAACGTGCTACGCAGCAATCGACGTAGCTTTTGCGTGTTCCAGGGTGCACAGGTGGTGCAGCGGAATTTTGTTCTTCAGAACTAGGTGATCTGTTTTTTCAACCTCTACTTGGGACGATTGAACCCTCTGACAAATATTGTTCACACTAACCAGGGAAGTTGTTGGTTAGTTTCACTGGCTTGAGCTGGCGCACGAACGCCACAGAAGACGCCGCTCTCTCTCTCTCTCTCTGTGCAGGGGCTTTCTTTAGAGAGGACTGGCCCCAAGAGATACAAGTTCAGGGAACAGAAGCTGGCCTGAAATGATGTACTGAGCAAGTTTTGTTCATGCTCATATTATATTATGTTTCATCTCCCAAATGTTGGTTGATTACTTAGCCAGGCTCTTTGAACCTTCATGATGATGATCAAGACATGGAAGAATCAGCCTTTACCCTCCCATGCAGCCCTTGGGCAGTGTAGAGCAAGAACCACACAAGATGAGAGCTCAAGGCCGAATTGAGATGTTTTTACGTCTTGGCTATAGCACAAAACCACACAAAACCCGTCACTGGGAAAGAGACATCAAGACATGAAAGAGTTAGGCGTCCGAAAAAAGGGGAAGACCACTTCAGAGCGATCTCCAAACGAACCAGTGGTTGGTGATAAAAGCCTTTTGGAGCAGTGGGTATGTATGTGTTAAAATAGGGAGACCTCCCCTAGAAGAAGGGAAATAGACCAAAACTCATTGGTTGCAGGCCTCCCTATTTTGGAAAATACACACCGGTGTGTTGCTCCGAACACTTCTTCTGTACACCCCAAGAAGATCCGGTGGACGACCCTTGGCCCTGTTGGTCCTCTTGGTGTTGTTAGTCTAAAACTGACGGGCAACGACTACAGCAACAAAGCCAGTGCAACCTGAATTAGTAATTAGATGCTGCGGCTACAGACATTCGTCTATGGCATGCGCAAGAAGAACAGAAGGTCTAGAGCTGACGCACAACTCAACTCACACATGTGGGTGTGGAAAATATCTTCCTTCGCATCCGAAGATCCACAGGCGATGTCGATATCTTTTCGATGTTTTTCTCGACGCACTCGGTCCGAGCCACGGCCCCAGGAAAGTCTATATGCAGCTCACGGACTCCAAGGTCACCGTGCGCGTGGGGGTGAATTACATCCCACTGGCCCAGTGGACGAAGGAGCTGCTCGGATCGCACGAAGGAGCGTACGCCGAGACGGACTTCGGGTGGGAAGCTGGGGGTCGAGGTCTCCGGTCTCCTCTATATAACCGGTTTGGCAGGTCGCTAACAACGCCCTTTAAAGCCCATAACAACCATCAAATCATCCCTCGCCCTAGAGTCGAGGTACAGTCGATGTTCGACTGTAGGCTGACCTGTGCTTGGCTGACGGAACCGAGGCTTTTCACCAACGCGGAGGATCCCTTCAGTACCTTAGACGCCCAGTCGCCTTTTGCCAACGTGCGCTGAGACCATGCGCGAGTGGAAAAGGGCCAATGCGGACTTGCGAGTGCAGCGTGCAGCAGGCTTTGTGGCTGGTTTGGGAGATCTTGGTGACCGCTTGAAGTCAGAATCCCAACTTTCGAAGCCCCAATCTTAAATCTTGAAACTTTAAAACATACAATTACTTTACTTCGAGTGATCCCCACCATGACATTCATACATTTTATTGTATAAATGTCATGGTGAGGATATTATGGTTCAGAACCATGCTCGCTGCACTTTTTTGCGCCACTATCTGCCATTCAATCTGCCATTCTATCTGGCAATCTATCTGACATACTATCTGGCATACTGTCTGGCATACTATCTGGCATTTTGTCTGGCATACTATCTGTCATTCTATCTGGCATTCTATCTGGCATTTTATCTGGCATTCTATCTGGCATTCTATCTGGCATATTTTCTGGCATTCTATCTGGCAATGTATCTAGCAATCTATCTGACACACTATTTGCCATACTATCTGGCATATCTTCTTGCAGCATTCTATCTGGCAATCTACCTGGCATTCTATCTGGCATTTTATCTGGCAAACTATCTGGTTGAGGTCCAGCGGTGCACACTGCGATCGGATCCTTGCGGTTGAGGTCCAGCGGTGCACACTGCGATCAAATCCTTGCGGTTGAGGTCCAGGGGTGCACACTGCGATCGGATCCTTGCGGTTGAGGTCCAGGGACGCACACTGCGATCGGATCCTTGCGGTTGAGGTCCAGCGGTGCACACTGCGAGGGGATCCTTGCGGTTGAGGTCCAGGGGTGCACACTGCGCTCGGATCCTTGCGGTTGAGGTCCAGGGGGTGCACACTGCGATCGGATCCTTGCGGTTGAGGTCCAGGGGTGCACACTGCGATC